CTTTTTATGGTAAGTAATGCGTTCTATCAATTTTGAGTTGCCTTTGAGTTACTTCTTACTCCCTGGTTGAGGCTCGATCTCTTTCAGAACTTGTTTCTTTCCTTTATTTATAGAGGAGCAATTAAAAACACACTGTATGACCAACACGTACATTTACTTTTAAAAACACATAAAAATATATTTTATCTGAGAACTTCCTGAGCTCAGAGCTTTACATACTGACTAACCCCCTTTACACAAGCCCCCTTTTTTTTTTCTTCGATGCGTTCAAAATATTGAACACATTCTCTCATTGACTGATTAATTCATTGTGATTATTTTTATTCAACATTTTTTTAAAAGCTAATTAATTAACCTACAAAAGCCCCCACCCCCCACCCCCCGAAAAAAAAAAAAAAAACATTAAGAGGTTTCCTCTTTCGCCAACATTGAAGGGGGACCCGCTGAGCCTTAGGGTTGTTTCCAGGACTTCTTGAAGGGACCCCCTCGAGGACCAAATTGTGTCAGTGAAGTTTTTAATGGTTCATTTAATCCAAGATGAGGAAAAGTTCTGGTCGGCCTGTTATTATTACTGGACAATTAATAACAGCGTCCAAAAATGTATTAATATATTCCTCGAGGGTGTTAGCTTGCCTGACCTGATCTGCTGGACCTTTTGTGTGGCCGAGTTTTCTGTTGGCCGAGTCTTGTTTATCTGTAAAGTGACATTACAACGTGTTATCCTTGTCTTGTTTTCCTGTGTGTTGACTTTAGCCTTTTTGTCCCTGTCTGCCGCCTGCTTTTTGACCTCTCGCCTGATACTTTTGACTGCGATTCTGGACTTCCTTTATACAACTGTTTGCACCTGTGTTGACCATTGCTTGCCTGACTCCGAATACACCTGCAAGTGGATCCAAACTTGCTCGGTCTATAGAAGACTCGGCCATCTTGTGAGCTGGAGGACTGTAGGCGGCCATCTTGTGAGCTGTGGAGGTCATGTATGAAAATGTAGTCCAGAAATGGCGGGTTTGTAGTTCATAAGTTATTGTGAGTGAGATCCAGCGATCTATGAAGTTACTCGTGACACCGGTTTTCCCCACAAGTCCAAAAACATGCAGTGTAGGTGAAGTGTGTGAGCTAAGTTGTCCTTAGTGTATGGGTGTGAATGGGAATGTATGGGTGTTTCCCAGTAATGAGTTGCAGTTAGAAGGGGATCCGCTGTGTAAAACATATGCTGGATAAGTTGGTGGTTCATTCCGATGTGGTGACTGCAGATAAATAAAGGGACTAAGTCAAAAAGAAAATGAATAATACAATAAAATTAATATAATATAATATTATTAATATAATATAATTAATATAATATAATTAATATAATATAATATAATTAATATAATATAATGTAATGTAATATAATTAAAAGAATGTAATTTAAATAATATAATATAATTAATATAATATAATTAATATAACATAACATAATATAATTTGATATAATTAATATAATTAATATATAATGTAATTAATAAAATATAATATAATTATTATAATGTAAATAATATAATATAATTAATATAATATAACATAATATGATATAATTAATATATAATGTAATTAATAAAATATAATATAATTATTATAATGTAAATAATATAATATAATATAATTAATATAATATAACATAATTAATATAATATAATTAATATAATATAATATAATATAATATAATATAATATAATATAACATAATTAATATATAATAATCTAATATAATATAATATAATATAATATAGTATAATCATTAATAAATAATACAGTGTGAATCTTGCAGGTTTGATGAAGCGATGCGCGGGGCGTTGTAAGTTTTAACACAACATGTGATTTTGAACCGAGTCTTTTGTCCTCCTGTGTTGCACGGTGCGCAGGTTGAGTGGGATGATGATAAATATGATTTTACGGGTTGCATTTAGCGTGGGCACCGCACACACAGCAACTTACAGGAGAGCAAACGGCCTGCGATCATTTATCAGAGATAATGGGTCATAGTTTACTCGCTGACACGACACATACATCATGAAGTCTGACCCCGCATGGAGACGCAGCCCTGCTCTACACTGAGATACATTACCAGATGTCAAACACTGTTTCTCACACACACACAAACACACACACTACATTCATGTAACAATAACAGCATTGAATTAAATATATCTTTAAACTAAACCTTCAAATCATTGTTTGTGAGCTCCAATAGTTGATTTAATCTGTTGAAATGGTGAATCAGGGCTACATGCATGTCGGCAGGATGATAACTGCAGATGCATCCACACGTTATCGCAATATAATCATCATAATGAAGATGTGTTCGTGTCAGTGATGGAGTCCTGATGACCTGCGGGAGTCACTGAGGCTAAAGGTCTGCCAACAGCGGGAAACACACACTCATTAGGCATTAATTAAGCATGTAATCTTCATCTAGAATGAAGAGGAAGGATGAGTATCAATCGTGGACACCTGGGACGAAGGAAACACACAGCTAGGACTGACTCTAGTGTGTTAAAGGGACAGTTCACATGAAAATGAACATTCTGTCATCATTTGCTCAACCCTGACTTGTTCACTTTTGTTCTGTTGAACATGTTGGAGGATATAGTGAAGAGCTGCCCATATTAAAATCTGATATATGACAAGCTACTTACTGTGTGTATGTGACATACAAGATAAGATTTTACATACATACAATGTCATTTGAGTAACCGGCCACTATATTAGGTACACCTGTCCAACTGCTCGTTAACGCAAATTTCTAATCAGCCAATCACATGGCAGCAACTCAATGCATTTAGGCATGCAGACATGTTCAAGTCGATCTGCTGTAGTTCAAACCGAGCATCAGAACGGGGAAGAAAGGGGATTTAAGTGACTTTGAACGTGGCATGGTTTTCATGGTGCCAGACGGGCTGCTCTGAGTATTTCAGAAACTGCTGATATACTGGGATTTTCATGCACAACCATTTCTAGGGTTTACAGAGAATGCTCTGAAAAAGAGGAAATATCCAGTGAGCTGCAGTTTTGTGGGCGCAAATGCCTTGTTGATGCTAGAGGTCAGAGGAGAATGGCCAGCCTGGTTTCAGCTGATAGAAAGGCAACAGTAACTCAAATAAGCACTCGCTACAACCGAGGTCTGCAGAAGAGCATCTCTGAAGCCTCCTTTCCACTGCACACGACAAGCGACAGACCAGAAGTCATTCATTTCCGAAGGAGAGCGGTCCGGGAGCTGGCTGGTGTTCCGATCATCTCCGTATGCAGAAACATTCGGATCCAAATTGAGCTGCGCATCCGTTGAAATATTTGACTTCTGCGTCTAGACTGTATGCGATTGGCTGACCGGATGTGATGTATTTCAGTGTTTAAGCAGGACCGTGCATGCGAGATAAGAAATTGTAGTTTTACTGGTTATTGTTTATATCAGAAAAAGTCTATATTAAAATAAAACATTTCTATTCATAAATGAGTAGTAAAACTAATATTTTTTTTTTATGTTGTCTCCACATTCCTTTCAATATTTTTAATGGTCCATGAGATCTCTATGCAATAGAGCACCTTTGGGATGTTGTGGAACGGGAGATTCGCATCACGTGCAGCCGACAAATCTGCAACAACTGCGTGATGCTGTCATGTCAATATGGAGCAAAATCTCTGAGGAATATTTCCAGTGCCTTGTTGAATTTATACCATAAAGGATTAAAGCAGTTCTGAAGGCAAAAGTGGGTCTAGTCCAGTACTAGTAAGGTGTACCTAATAAAGTGGCCGGTGAGGTATGCTTTGAAATTTTGCAAACATGACTCTTTTAAAACACGAATGTTCTTATAGTGCAATTAAAAGTGCAATTTAAAGGCTTAATCATGGGTATTAGATTAATTAGGTAAGCTAGGGTTGCATAATGTTATTGCATAAGGATGGTTTGCTCTGTAGACAATCCAAAACAAATAAAGCTTAAAGGGGCTAATAATATTGACCTTAAAATGCTTATAAAAATTAAAAACTGCTTTTTTCTAGTTGAAATAAAACAATAAAGACTTTTTCTGCAAAAAAAAAAAAAAAAAAAAACTAGGAAAAATACTAGGAAATACTGTGAAAACGTCCATGCTCTGTTAAACAACATTTGGTAAATAATGGAAAAAAATCACAGGAGTAATAATAATTTTGACTTCATCTGTATATATAAAGGTTTCAGTAATGCAAATATGTCACATAACTAAAATCACTAACCTGCAATAAATACAACCACAGTTTAAACCAATGCCGCAAACAGTGAAAAATATAAACTGATAATAATTAGCATCTTTATTCATCTTGTGTTGCTTTGCTGGTGTCGCAAGTACAGTGCTAATATCCACAGTTTCAAAACCTTTCTCAAAAGTTGTGAGAAATGCACAAAATAGGCCACAGAAAGGATTATTATGCGTTGTGTTGGATCTAAAAACCGTTTGGATGGAAAACAGCACTTCTGTTGCCAAAAGCTCATCACATTTTCAAGAATCATCTGGGCGATGAGTTCAAAGACTGTCAACATAAAGATGAAAAAAAAAGAGAGCAAATATGTAAGCTATTAAACTAAACTACCCGTTTACTGAAGATGTGCTCTTTAAGAGGTCCTGAATGTCTTTCAACACATATACTTAAAAAAAAAATTGGGTTGTTTAGTTTAATTTTAATTCAGACACGGACAAAACTAAACTAATTTGGATTGAGAATTTTAGTTTATTGTATATGTGGATCTTATTTAAATTACTTAATTAATTAATAATAATTAATCATTTTTCAAATGTTGCCCAAATGATGATTAACAGAGGACTGAATTTTTCACCGTATTTCCTATAATATTTTTTCTTCTGG